TTGTCACCAGCAGTAATGAAAAAGCACTTATGACCGTCCACATTTGAATTGGGCCATGGTCCACGGAGGTAAAGTGTCCAGTAAAGCGATTTTTGTTGAGCTCCGTCTCGGAACACTGCACACCGAAAAAAAGTGTTGCTGATTTAACATACATACATATAAGTCGCTTTACAGCACTCCCTCGCGCTCTACGACTCCTAACCTCCACTGCTCTCTTTCAAACCACAAGTCTTGGGGGATTGAGCACCTTAACATTTCCGCTTCAATCCCTTCCCTCCAACTTTTCATTGGGCGCCCTCTGCGTCTTCTCCCAGGAGGAACCCAGTCAAGGACCTTCTTCGGCAACCTGTCTCCTGCCATTCTCTGGACATGACCATACCAGATGAGTTGTTACGTCATAATGTCATGCACGATGGTCTGCTTGGCATCCATGATTTCCCGTACCGTCTCATTCCTGACGCAATCCTTTCTGGAAATACCAGCGGATCTACGCCAGAAGTCCATCTCCGTTGCCTCTAAAACCTCCCGGGTCCGCTGTTTCATCGGCCATACTTCACACCCGTAGGTTACTATGCTCTTGACAATCGCGTTGTAGATCCTTCGTTTGTTCTCTTTGGAGATCCTTTGATCCCAAAGGACTCCATTTAACATAGCGATTGCCCTCCTACCCTGCATATTCCTCTTCTTGATGGCCTGGTCCAATCTTCCATCCTGGGTTAGAAACACTCCTAGATATTAACCCTGCTGATTTAACATTCCGGATGTAAAAGAGTGGGACAACTCACAAAACGCTGAATTAACCGCCGCAGCAGTTAGTTTTACATCTCGACATTGCTAAAGTAACTGCTGTAGCGGTTAATTCACTGTTTTGTGAGTATGTGAGTTTTTGCACACTGTTTTAAATCCAGAATATTGAATCAGCATCTTTTTTTCGGTGTATTATCCTAGTTGAGACCTCGTCTTCTGGCCCATTTCTGATCGTTGGTGTTAATCAGTTTTGGTGGACGATCCTCTTGAAATGCTAGCGAGGGGGATGCGTTCGGCGTCCCGGAAGAGTTGGTCGGAGACGAGAAGGTTGCGTTGCATGTCCTCGAAGGGGTTCTCGGTGCCTCGCGGGTTGCGTCGGACGTCGTGGAAGGGGTCCTCGTCGCGCGGGGCGTCGGGCGTGCTGCCGGCGGCCTCTTTGAAGGCGCCCGGCCCGGGGGCGAGGAACTGGGCCAGGTGGAACTTGTGGGCCTGGTGGGCGGCGGTCGTGCGGAGGGCCACGAAGCCGGTGCCGAGCTGGGCCAGGAGAAGGGCCACCTCGACGCCCTGCACGGCCCGCTCAACCCCCGTCGGGCGCACACCCTCGTTGGCCAGCAGGAATAGTTGAAGGGGCAGTTGCAGCAGGAACGACAGCATCCAGAATCCGGCCAGCTCCGGGATCTGAAAAACAAGAATCATGTGTCATCTACTCATGAGTTATAAATAGACCCAAAATTATAGATCTCTCGGCGTGACCTCAACTTAATATTCCAATATAAACTGCCTGAGCTGAACACTCTTCCCCATCAGTTTTGTACTGATCCTCATTAGAGCTCAAAATTTTTGGCTGTGATTGAAAAGTTTTGAACTTATTGGCTTTGATCCTCCCTCCCCCAAATAGTGTGGGCCCAGCACTATTTTACCACCTTGTCACGCAGTTTGAGCCACGTTTTTAGGTTTTTTCCTTTTTTCCCCCCTTGATTTTAAGGGTGATGGTCGATAAAATCACAATTCAAGGGTGGCGCTAATAAACTGCTATTTCACAGGGTTAAATCCAGCTCAAGAACTGTTGACATATGTTTAATAAAAGTAAATTTTACGTTCTTTTCAATGAACATAAAAGTTTATT